ACAAAAACTACATTGAAAGCAGAAAGTCCACTTTGAAAACTAAGTGAACTCAAATAAAACTGATAAACTCAAATTTAAAAAACTGTAACAATGCTCCCTCCCACACACACCAAAGACATGCCTTTTATCTTAACACTTTCATGCATTATGACTACCTCAATCAGGATTTTTGTCTTGAGTATTCATCTTTAGGCATGAAAAGATGAATAAAATAAAATACTTTTTTAAAAATACTAAAAAATCCTGATTGAGGTAGTCATAATTCATGCGTGACAGGGTTAAATAACAATAATTACAATGAAACACATCATACATCTATAGTAACATTAAATGGGTGGCAGGATATGGAGTGACACATCAGTGTCCAGTGTAGTGGTTTATGTGCAAGTATACCATCAACACTGAGACAAATACAAGCAAACAGCCTTTGAATAGCTGTCCACATGCGTGAAAGGGTTAAGAGCTAAATCTGAGTTGACCTTGGGTGTAGGTGTGAATGATTGTCTTTGTCTCTGTGATGGATCAGTGTATGCCACCTCTTTCCTGGTGTAGGCTATAACCCCCTACAAAGTTGCACAAAGACTTAAAGATAAACTTTTGTCTCATGTTTTCTGGCTATAAAAGTTTTTTACCCCTCATATATTATATTTTTATTGGTAATGTTTCAAAGTAATGACATTTAATTCAATGTGTAAAAGAATGCACTCGCACAATAAGGATGTACTTGCAGAAGGACTTGTGTTTATGGTGCAATGCATAAAAGCACTTTGAACAGATCACCTAAAGAAAGAGAATTCTTTACAAAGCGAACAATGGGGGGTTTCAATGAAACACCTCGTATTAGCACACCGTGCTCTCTTTGATACAATATATTTTTCTCCCTGGCGGCCACAAGAAATCTGTACAATCTTTGACTTGCTGGTTAATATAAGGCAGCTGTGTATTGATTGTGAACTTGTGGCATTTCTGCTGTTTGGACAACTAATTACTGTCACTCATTGACACTAAACACCATCTCTGTTACACAGTAATAGCTTTGAATTCATTATTTCACCAGTCATTGCTGCAGTCTTGCCTTTATGTACCACTCACAGTCAAGCCTTTGTCATTAACAAAGAGATTTACTTTACACTCTTTTCATATAAAAGAAACTGTTTGTTCAAATTGTTAATGTTTTGAGTTGAGTTATTTAATTATCTGCCAAGAGTGTGTGGAAGAGTTTGTTTTATGCATTGCTGTCTTTAGGGCATGCATACTTCTTCCTTTTGTTTTCATTTGACATTAACATCTTTTAACATGTCATATAATGTTCACGAGTACAACTGCTAAAAAAAAAACAAAAGCACGTGTGTTAAGGGTTTCTTACCTCTTCTTTGTTGTATGTTTTGGTCTCTGACAATTATATAAAATAAGTACACCAATAAAAAGAAAGATAAATGTTCTCTCTCAGTAGCGCTGGAATTATTTAACCCAGCAAAGTTATGTAACACTACTCATTATTTCAGATTTAAGCCTTACAAAAAGTACATTATTTAATTTGGGTTTAAAGATTTTATAGAGTTTAATCAAATTCAAAGTATGCTCACACACGCACACATGCACACACTTGATCCTCTTCAGAATTTGAAAGTCTGTTTGCCTCAAAAGCACCCTGTTATGTTAGCAATCAGTCAGACTTTAAAAATGTATTGTGTACTTTGTAACCAGATTATGTTATTCAGAGACCTGAAGCTACCCTCTACTAAGGATTCAAAGCAAAATAGTTACGCAGTTGTAGATGTAAACTGTGTAAGTGTTAGCGTGTTCTGTTGGTGGGTATAACAGGAAAGATGTGAGGGGTAAAGGCAGTGAAGATGGACATGTTTAAATACCTGGACTTAACCATCCAACCAGCAGATAGTGCACAAGAGAGGTGAAGAAGCAAGTGCATTCAGGGCACAGTGGCTGGGGTGATTTGTGACAGAAGCATATAGCAGCAATAGTGAACGCTAATGTTTACAAGAAGGTAGTGAGACCTGCTACAGTATGATTTATGGCTGGGAGACAGTGACACTGTTTAATAGACAGGAGGACAAGCTGGAGGTAGCAGAGTTTCATTGGGAATGACTGGGATGGACAGGGTTAGAAATGAGTATAGAACAGGAACAGCTCATGTTTTGCATTTTTAAGGCAAAGTTTGAGAGGATAGATGAATAGAAGATACACTGGACAGAGGATCTTGAACATGGAACTGCCAGGCAGGAGAAAAAGAGAAAGAGCACAGAGATGGAGTTCATGGATGTAGTGAAGGAGAACACGCAGAGGATTGGAGTGACAGAGGCAGATGCAGCCACACCGGAAAAATATTACAGATAGTAAATCTAAAAGTCTTCTTCCTATAATGCTCCTTCATAAGCAAGACCTTGTTTCTTTACACAAGAAATGCTCCTTATTAAAGAACATTATGAAAGGGGATCGGATGCATTTGCTGGACATAAATCAGCATAATATTGCAACATGCAGTCACAAACTTATTGAGTGAGGAACGATATGTGGTAACTTTATCTGCAACATAAACAGTAAATTTTGTAATGTACTTAATAAAACTCCAGAATTGAAATGTTGGCAGCATATTTCATTTAACAAAAGGTTAAATGTCCACAGCTGGCATTACATGGAAGGCAGGAGTGGTTTGGCATTGTCACCTGACTTCATATTCTACCTCAGTATATTTTATTGAGTTTCCCATTTGACTTACTTGACTGGTATATGTGTGTATATCATGGTATACACAAAAAATGGTATGGTCCCAAAAAATCCCTTTACAATTTTTTTTTAAATTAATTATCTTTGGCCTGTCAAATTGTCTGGTGTGAAAATGAATTATTGACACCTCTAATTAAATCTAATCTCCACTTTACCCTCAGAACAGGTTGGAATAGTTAAAATAACTCAAAATGTGTGTGTGTTCAGGGCATTTAAATTTTACAAATGCAGTAAAATGTGGTTTGATTTCTGGTTTGAGGGTGTATGAAAAGTGTCTGAAACATTAAGCTTTATTTTATTTTTTGAAAACTGGCAACTTGAATCAGTATTTCTTTGATTTTTCTTTCATCTTGTAAGTGATCAAACAGCAAATGAACCATGTACAGTACATTGCTTCATTCCAGACAAAGCCCACAAACATATATATGCAGTGGAGGTTTCAGATGGTGATGTAACTGAAGTTCTTCATCTTGGAAATAGTCTGCCTCTCCACTCAGAATACAGCAGTGCCAGGGATGTGTGCCATGCACCATGACTTGCAGCTATTTATGCTGACTTCACCACCACACGCCCACTTGTTTTGAGAACATCATGTGATGTGTGACCATCACAAATGAACCCACTTTGCAACACACAGAGGAAATGATAGTAAATCACGCAAAAACATTTATAAATCAAGTAGATTTAGATCTTAAAAGAAAAGGATTGATGCCATTGCCTGGTCATTTGAAACAAACGCTTTATGAGATAAACAGGAGAGGTAAAAAGTGTCACTGTTGCCTCACCATGAAGACTCCCAGCACTCACCAGTGAGATGAAATGGGATGGAAAGCTGCCTTTCATGCACTGCTATCCAGGCCACTGCCCTCACAGTGGTAGAGTGCCAGTTACTGTACTTTATCTGAAGAGGCAGGAAACACAGAGCGCCTGTTTTTCCCTTGCAGTGCCATGTGTTTCTCACCTGATCCCTCCTCTCTTTTTCCAAACTGCAGAAACCACAGCATTGCTCTAGGTAATGTGAATGTGGACACTGCAGTCCATTGACTGGGACTCTGTTTAAATGTCAAAAATCACATTTTGTTTGGTCAAAGGAAGCAGAAAATGAAACAAAAAACCCTTTTTCCCCCAACAGTAAAGACAAAATTATTTGTGAGGTTAATAAAAAAAAAAAAAGACTCATTAACTTAAATGTCTTGTTTCACTTGCAAAGATTAGGCAACAAGCTTGTGAGACAGTTATGTCTGCCTGAGTTTGGTTGCGAGATCTGAACTCTCTTTGATTCATTTGAGTGACTTCCTCTCTTTGAAGTTGACAGGAAGATGGTGGAAGTTGCTCTGGTACTCTCTTGTGAATCTGTTTCAAGGATTTTCATGAAACTGCTACTTTAGGTTTTTACGTCCAAAATGCATGTTTTGAATTGTTCTTGGAAATGGTGACCAAGCAGCATCCCCCACAGGTTCGCACATTCCTGCAAGCCACAGTGCTTATACCACCAACTCAACAAAAGGGTAACATTCTTAATAAGCAGCAACTGCTTGCTGTCTGGGACATAAAGTAATACATTTATGTACCTCTGAGATCATAAGTGCTGAAAATTATATATTTTGTATGTATTTTTTAGTAGAGTAATAAATGTAGAATAGATAACACTGGATTTGGTTTTCTCCACTAATAATCTAGTTTAACTTTACAGATTGATTTGTATGTTTGGTTACCACATTAAATATTACATGCTAAAACACATTAAATTCTTTACTATGTATAAAGTTTTACTGAATTGTGCTGATCATACATTTTTCCCGTTTTCTTTTCTGTGACTAGTTGATGTCAGTCTATGCCAACTATAATTGTTCTATAATATTATACCCAAGTATTTTTTTTTTAAGTCAAGGCATTTACTTACCGTTTATTAATCTTTTTGTTGTTTGTTTGTGGTTTCCTGCTGCGATTTTATTTAACTATACGCGGATCTTTCGTGTTTCAGAACTCTTTAACAACTTAAGGCGACACCACTGAATGTAAAGTACAGTTTCTACTTGAGTTTGTACTGCACTGAAACACCAGTTAACAGCTAAGGTGTGACTGAATTTACCCGTTTATGGTTCATGATGTGTTACATAACTTCCGGTTTTGGACTTTGAACCAAGCGCTTTCGTGTTCAGAGAGAATCGGCCCCCGCTGTGTGTTTCCTTTATTTGTGAATAAAGACAACAGGCTGGATCTCGCGGGGGATTAGACGCAGAGATCGTTGTAATCCGTTTGCGGGCCGGCAGGCGGGGAGGAGCTTTAGGACCCGGTAGGTGTGGGCCGGGTAGGATTTTTCCTCGTGGAGTAGCAGCTGGACGCATGCGCCCCCCCACTTCCACTAGTTGTCGATCCCCAGCCCCAGGAGCAAATGAGATGAATTGTCGTGTTATACCTGCTTAAAGGCGCCGCTGGTTTGTGTGAAAAGCTCAACCTGCTCACGGGATAGGTGAACATAAACATTTTTATTATTAGTAGAAAGTTTAAAAAGTGCCAAATAGTTAAAGGAAGGGGGCAGAATTAAACGATGAATGAGGAGAAGAGTCTTTGAATTTAAAGCTGACAATCTGAGAGCGGATTAGATCCCACTGCGAGGAATCAGAGCGTGTGCTGTTGTGAAAGATGCGGAAACAACATCAGAAGCAACAACAATCTGGATTTTGATACACTGTGATATTTACATGCACTGGCCGGAGGATGTCTTGGCTCAGGAGAAGAGTGAAAATTCTCCAGATTGGACGCAAACACACTAAAGTTTTCTTTCTGGGACAGTTTCAGGGCTGTGAATCGGATGATTTTTGCACCGTTCCTCGGATCTAACGGGTTTGGTTTGGACCTGAATCACCATGTCAAAAGTCATTCAGAGGAAGAACCACTGGATCACCAAAGTAAACGAGTGCGCGGTCATCCGGGACGCGTACGGGGAGCTGAATGTAGAGCTGCGCGGCGGAGCTGAGAATGGAGAGTTTCCATACATCGGGCAAGTTAAAGAGGATGCTGTGCTTTATCAGGACGGCAAACTTAGCGAAGGAGAACTGCTCTTGGAAGTCGAGGGGCTGTCTGTGTCTGGATTACCTCTGTATGACATTTTTACTGTGATCAGTTGCTGCAAAGGTCCCGTAAGATTGAAAACTGTGCGCCAAGGTAAGTCAGCCATTTAAAAAAAAAGTGATGCATGTTTGCATACATGCATGCACGCGCGTGCGTATGACAGGTGCGTAGGAGAGTGCACATACAAAGCAGCTGATGAAAGCCAGTGGTGGCTGTTGTACAGCTGTGGTGCAAAAACCTCATATACAGTAACAAAATGGGGATGTGAGTGAATTAGGGCAGAGGAGAGCTGCTGCTGCTGCTGCTGCTGCTCATCCCTCCTCAGCAGCCTGGAGTCTTCACTGGATTTGACATGAAGCTGCCCTGACAGTCATCCTGCCCCCATTTGTCTAATATTGCTAAAGCCACTCTGGGTCAGACTTGGAGCGTCACAGATTAGACCACCTATAATACTCCAACACTTTAAAATGTTCCTGTTTCTAGGGCTGCCACTAATTCTAAATCTTGTCTTTTTATTTGTTTATTTATTTTAGATTTTCTAAGGAATAGAACATGTGAGACAGTCCTGAGGCCTCAAAGTTAAACTTGAACTTGTTTCTTTGTTTCTTATTGGATAAGGTTATTTTGGAAGCTGCAATATTCGAGAAAAAAAACCCAAACTATTTAAAAATCAGATTTTAATGTGATATTTTTATTCCCAGTGTCTCTTTCCAAACATTCAAATTAACTGTTTAACAAAGCTTGCAGTGCCTCCTCTCTGGGGAAATCATTAACTGTGTTATATAACTGTGGGTAGTGTCAGTGTAGCATCTTTGTACTGTATGTCCATTAGTGGCTCCACAGTGAATGTTTCACCTCTGAAACTGAAGTCTCGACCTCAGGGACAAGAGCTCAGCACTAATGCCGCTCTGTGTTTGCAGAACTGGCATTTGTTTGACACATAATCAGAGCATGTTTGCATCATGGGGTATTTTTAATATCCACAGTGATCCAATAGTTTTCTAATTATTCTTAACTCCTATGGAAACACTCAACGCATAGACATAAAGGATATCTTGGCCCATCTGTCATTAGTTTCTTGCATTAGTCAGCAGATTTTCCTTGTCTCTTAATTAAAGGAGGGGGATATTCTTTGATTATCTGAGTAGCTCACAAGGCTTTCATTGTGCCTGGCAGTCCACTGGGCTCCCATGCAGAACTGGTAAGGGATAGCGATCCAAGTTGTCCCAGACCAGATGACAGGCCGTTGAGACAGATCAGATCTCTCTGCTTTTCATTCCAGAAAGCTGTGGGTCGTATTACACGAGACCACATCACCTCGGTACTGTAGGTGGAAACACAATCATGTGCAAGTAGACGGCACCCACAGGTGTGTCACTCCCTTAGAGGAATGCACAAAAAACCCACCTGAAATAAACCTGAGCATTCCTGCAGAGAGTGTGGAATATTAAATTTGTGAGAGCTTGATGCCCGGCGCTTTTAAAAAAAGCTGTAGAATACTCAGCAAATAACATTTTGACATTTACTGATGTAAATGTAAAAAAAACCCCTGTTCAATAGAGGTCAGAAAGATTTTTAAAAAGGGTGATTTTTCTTGGTCTTCTTTAGTTAGTTTGTTTTTTACGAAGACGATTACTTTATTTACCCAGAACAAAGTGGTAAAACAAAGATTTTTAAAAAGGAAAAGAAGGTAGTTATCATATGTGTCTAATGACTACTGACAGTACACGCACACACAGTAAATAACTGTAAACTTTATCTTTGGATTGATAATTCTTTTTATGGTTATAAGTCAGAGAGGGTGTGCCCAGTAAATGTAAATTGTGGCTTATAAGTACAACAGGCTTCAAAGTAACCAAACTGCAAAGCGTCTAGTATCACAGCTACAGCTGCTAACTCTGCCAGATCACAATAACTTAACTCCTTTTGTATTTACAACAACTGTATCCATCTGCCTCTTTCACCTCATGTTGAATGTTTGCTCCGCACCTCTCCCCTCTGAAAACCTCCAGCTCATTCAACCCGAAATAAAAACAAAGTAAACCATAAAGGAAAACACGCCGAGGCAATTGGCCCATACTTTCCTTTTTAGCCCTTCCAGAGGGCTGTGGTTACTTCAGATGTTTTAACAACAGTGATTCTTACAAAGGTCAGGCGAATAAAATAATTTTCTGATGTGGCATAACTTTCAGGTTAAAGTCCAAAGAAGGAGTTCTTTGAGACATCTTATGACTGTGACCTACTTACGCAGCTCTTCTCTGTTATCATTGGTTGAATCCAGCTCAGTGATGAAAGGTTTTGTTGTCACTGTGTTTTGAGCTTGAATGGCTGCTACCTTGGCCAGGTCTCCCTTGTAAAGGAGATTTGCTCTCAATGGAACATCCTGGTTAAATAGAGGCAATTATTATAATAGCCTGACATCTTTTAGTGTCTGTAAAAGCGCAACAGTTCTATATCAGGTCATTTAGTAATACTAGACTAACAAGAGTGCTAGTGAATGAAACTGTTTGGGTGTGAACAGTCTTCTCAACAGTTGAATTATTTATCTCTTAAGAGAACCACGATGTCCTCCAGCAGCCAAGAGTCTGGGGGTTTATGATCATGAGAGGGTCTGGGCCAGGTGTCAGGCTGTCTGATCTCAAGTAGCCCTTACTCCTCTTAGATCTTGTGTTGAACCTTAGCCAGACAGAGGGGAATCAGGCCAGTCTGCTAGATGCCAGGCATTCCTGGGAGGTGGAGATGAGCTCTTAATGGAACACTCTGCTTTAGAGTCACTAACAGCTACCTGTGTGTACATTTAGTATCCCATTTGGGAGCACACCTGGCTGCTTTGATTGAGTTTACTCATTTCTATATGCTAAACACATATTGTTTCCATTTTCATATTTTCTTCAGTGGCAATAAAACACTATTAAAGATATATGTTGTTCAGTTCTTTATTTAAATGTTTTTGTAATGAAATATGAGCCAATCCAGTGTTGCGTTATGCAAATTTTAGAAGTTGTGCACATCTAGATAAATAGCTTCAGGCACAATTTTTCTAGCTGGGTGCCTTTCAAACCATTGCAGCAGAAGTGGGCACAACCAAATGCTAAAAGCCAGTCAAACATCACATGGTTGAGGACATTCACTTTATTTATTCATAACATTATATACTCAGACAGTGATGAAAACTTATTTAATATAGTTCATTCTTTTTTTGTTGTTTTCTTCTTTTTTTTTTTGTTACTTCCACTCGGATTTTTGATGCTCAAAAGAAAATTGCGGTTATTCAAATGCAAACTTTAGTTTGGGTCCACACAATAGTACAGAAATAGACCTGTTTACTGTCTTATATAAAAATAGTATTGGCCTCAGCACCTTATTTCCCTGTTCAAGTGCATAAGTTTGTGAGTTTCTATAAAATTCACAACTTTTTGTACTAAGGGTTAAAAGTAGCCTGATGATGGGCGTGACCACTTTGGATGATTCGTGGTTCTGCTGGATGTCACGTCAGCTATGTTGAGTCACTGAATTCGACCTCTTGACTGTGTTGTTACAACGCATTCTCTCTCCAGACGAGTTATATACTGATGCATAGTCAGGAACCCTTTCTCACCACGGTTAAGTTACCTCCTTTCAACACGGGGAAGAAGAATAACCTACAAGTCAACATCGAGAGGCGATCATATGACCTTCAAACAGAAGACAAGAATTTGACTCCTTTTCTTTAGTCACTTACTTACATTTTTGACTATACCTTTGCTGATCTAAACCTAACCTACCTGGTCAGATTTAGTCTTCACTATGTTAAACAAACACTGCATTAAAACTCCCATTTGCAACAAGCTTTTCTGACATTGACCGATTATGACGGTCCCAAAAAAAGCATTTTTGCTGTTTTTGCCGTTTCTATTTCAGATGTTGAGGGACAACCATTGACCTTTACTGGACCTCATACTGAGGCACATGCTGATAAATGTCAGTAAAGTAGTACAGTGTGAAGCCTATGGGTCCTGCCTTTTGTATGTCATGATTTCAGAGCGGTTGGTGCCATTTGATGTGTTGTTGATGGTCCTCACATAGACAGACCAATAGTTCTACGTTTACCTGGTACAATAAGTGTAATATTTTATTTATAATTAATTAATAAGCAAATGTATGTGTCTGTGCAGTCCATACAGTTTAGGGATTCAACTTACCTCACTAGTATTAGCTTATGATGGAACAACCCGCCCTCTTATCCAAATAATTACTTCTAGCTCTAAAAATGAAGACTGGCTTCAAAACTGTATTCACAAATAAATGTGTGATATGGCTGCATCCATCTGTTATAAATAGTTTATATGGGAAAACAAATAGAAAGTATACTTAGCAAAACTGGATTTAATTGTAGCTTGCCTTTAAATTCTGTGTTTAAAACTGACTGGGATTTAAAGGTTACACTATCTTTTATGTGTAGTTAAAAAGGCTTACAGGCATCATGACAGTGTTTGCAGACGCAGAGCTCTTCCCTTACAGGCTTACTCCAGAATGCAAGTTCCTTGCATTTTTTAAGGACGAAGACTTTGTCAGTCTTGATTAAAAGCAACCGACTGCATGTAAGTATATCCTTGAAAGGCTTGTCAGGGGCTCTGTTCCTTCTGCTTTTTCCTTTCCTTTCCTTAATCGCCTTCTCTTTAAGAGCTCTGTTTTAGACAGCAGTGAGGCCTCTAAGATGTTTTGTGTGTTCCTGTCTTTTCACACTTATGCTTTTTTTGTGTGCACAGAATAAGATTTTGACATTATAAGAAATGTTACTGTGGATGTCTTCAAAATAAGTGTAAATATAGCTGTACTTTCTTGTGACTCATACTGTATGAGCGCATGCTTTTTTAGGGTTTATATGCTGCAGTTTTACTTGATGAATGTTAATAAAGGCAGCGCACCAGTGAAGGAACTATACAAGGAGCACATAAGCAGCTTGTGTCATTTAAGCTTGAACAAATGGCTGTGCAATTCACAGACTTTGCCTCAGGTGTTGTAACAATGAGGTTAGGATGGAGTGCAGGCCAGAAGGGTTACAAGAAAAAACCAGTGCTGTGCATGTGATGCTCTCTCAGGCAAAGACATTC